GCTGAGAAGAGTTTCTGGATAAGTTTAAGCTTTCTGGATAAAAAGAGGCAGAGTCAGCTAATATATTCCTTTGGCCAATCTCGCCTTTTTTTTTTTTTTTTTTTTTAAAAAAAGAGGTTTTTATCTCAGGGCATGTTTTTGCTGTGGTAGAGGGGAGACAGTGAGAGGGAAAATGAGAAATCACCCCGAGGAGGATGGCCACGCTGCAATCCCTTCTCCTTCATTCTCTTCCCAGGATCTTGGCCATGTACGCACATGCGCCTGGCATAATTTTCATGCCACTGGATCTGGGACTTGAACCACAGTCTGTCATGTGGGAGTCCAGCAACATAACTGCTACACCATCTACTGGCCCCACTGGGGGCCAGTATCTCTGGCTGGTGTGTGGATAGCACCCATCTTACAACCAGGAGATGACAAGACTAAGATCAAAGACCAAGATGCTACAGGCAGTAGAGCAAGATCAAAGGTTCTGTGGTGGCATCTTTCCGTTGGTATATTAGCCATGCCCTGCTACCTGGGGACTTCTTGTTAAGTGAGACCAAGTCCTCTAAACATGATGGATTTTTTTGTCATTTGTGGCAAAGAGCATTTAGGATGGCTTCCGAAAGGATCCACAGGGCCAGAATTAGGATGAGACAAATGGTACAAGTACAAACCCAGATCCTGTCTTTAAAATTTAAATATGTTGGGGAACCAGCAATTAGCGTAATGGCTATGTCGCTGGACTCCCACGTAGTTGACCGCGGTTCGTGTCCCGGACCCGGTGGCTTAAAACTCACGCTGGGCGCGTGTGCGTGCGTGCCCAAGATCCCGAGAGGAGAATGGAGGAGAAGGGATTACGGCGTGACCATCCCCCCTGGGGGGTGATTTCTCGCTTTCTGTCTCTATGTCTCTCTCTGTCTGTCTGGCGAGCGCACGCGCCCTACAGTGAAAATCTCTCAAAAAAAAAAAAATTTAAATATTTTGTTCATCATGGATTTTTCCTGTTTGCATTAAATTTGATTTCTTTTTTTTTTTTTTTGGAGAGTTTGTTTTTGCTATAGGGTGCGTGTGCTCGCCAGACAGACAGAGAGATAGAAAGTGAGAAATCACCCCCCAGGGGGGATGGTCACGCCGCAGTCTCTTCTCCTCCATTCTCCTCTCGGGATCTTGGGCACGCATGCACACGCGCCCGGCGTGAGTTTAAGCCACTGGGTCCGGGACACGAACCACAGTCGACTACATGGGAGTCCAGCGACATAGCCATTACGCTAACTGCTGGTCCCCTCTGCATTAAATTTGATTTTTAAAATATTGTGTTAAAAAGTCTATCA